CTTGGATGGCTGAAAGCTAATTAGCTTTATCTAAAAAATTAGGCGTGTTCTGTTTGGGTCAGCAGATCAGCTGAAAGTACGAAATTTTTCTGTCACATAGAAATTACGATATTGCCAGATGAAGATATTGTTTTTCTCCGTAAAAGAGCACTTTTTAAACGCAACGTATCTTTGCCTAAGATGTTGTGTTTTAACGATGTAACAATGTGAGACACCAATTCATTGGGTTGTCCACATGGCTAGATTCTTAGCAAAATCTTAACTTGAATTCCTGAAGCCACTTTTAATGACGTCAACAACTCCGTTTACAAAAAAATTGACCAAGAAATAGGAAATCTGCAAATTAAGGAAAGCGGCTAAAAGCCAATTTGCAACTTTATCTTTGTCAACGCCCACGTTTCAATAATTCAATATTTGGCTACTAATACAAGCTTTGAATAAAAACACTTTAAGTCATTTAAATGTTTATCCAAGTTTCAAGAGCAAATTTAATCACAATGCTGTATTCGAGTCACAACATTTCTGCTTTTGTTCATAAAACAAAAAGGGTGATTGAGAACTCGCATAGCGAGTATGACAAAAGAGAGGGTTTCCAGGCTAGTGTAAACAGCTTTGATACAGCAATTATTTTATAATCTTGTCTTTGGCTGCCAATAGAAAATAAACAGGAAAAAAGTATCTCAGTTAGCCCGATAAATCCTGCTCTAATCACGAAAGGACTTGCAAGCATTTCTTATTTGGTGGGGTAAGAAATTGTGTGCACGGAGCGCGCGGTTCGGAATGGGAACAAGTGAATTTTGTAGTACCTTTTTCCCAGTTCCATTGTTACAGGGGCTTGCTCAGGGAGTAACTCACTGAGACAGCAAAGATTTGGGATGCACCGGAAACATAGCAATTATAATGAAGTGGTGAAGCATCATGCTTTTATAAGTGGCGCGTGACGAAGACTACCAGAATTCAGTTGAAACTTCCGGATCTATATGCTAACGTGAAAAACCAAAACCTTTCCTGTGACATTGCTCACTAAGCCTTACTTTGAGCCGTATAAAATAATATCCCGACCTTATATCATTCACCAAGCTCATCAGACGTTCTAGAGGGCTCAGTGTGGCGTGCATTTTAAAGCAAATAATTGTTGTTCTGCATGATGGCCAGCTTCACCGTTTAACTCCCACCAGTAACCAAAACAGAATTACTCTTTACATATCGTTACAATTTATTGGTTGAAAGAGCGTGCTCTAAGAGAGTAGAGAGCATAGAGCTGAGCTAGAGCTGTCACGTTATCTGCCGAATTGTACTATGTCCGACCATTTCCGGGACTTCTCTCAAGCTTTT